CGAGCGTATCATTCGTTCCCAGATTCCACCTCTATGACTGGCCAAAGACGGGTTGAAGTGCCACGCTACTTCTTTCGCTCGTAAACTGTGCTAAATCTTTAACTGTGCTTCGTCACACTTGATTCTCTCGAACTCTTCTTTTAAGATCCTGTTGCCTGCCACAAAGTTCGATCCATTGTCGCTGTAAATAGCATTTGGAAGACCTCGTCGAGCACTGAAACGGCTGAAGGCGCAGAGAAAGGATTCGGCGTCGAGCGTATGAGCAACTTCGATATGGATGGCTCGCATCGCTAAACAGGTGAAGACACAACCGTATCTTTTAACTTGGCATCTTCCTCTTTTTACCAGGAACGGACCGAAGTAATCAACGCCTGTTGAAGCAAACGAGTGTTCAAACGCTGTAACACGAGGCACTGGAAGCGAAGCCATAACTTGCTTGCAAGGTGGCGTATACTTATTAGGACAAATTTTGGATTGGCCGATTATGAAATGGATTCTGGAGCGTCCTTGAAGAATCCACAGGTCTTGTTGAATAGCAGCGAGAACGGCTCGGGTTCCAGCATGTCCTTCTCGTTCGTGGTAATGTCGAATCAAAGGACCAACGATGTGGTGTTTACTTGGGATTACTGTCGGATGTTTGGCATCAAAGGATATTTCAGCTCTTTCCAATCTACCGCCAACTCTCAGTGAACCGTCGTCTCCCATCAAAGGTGATAAGGCAGCTAACTTGCTCGATTTTTTTCACAATAGCCTTGGAGGGAGGATCATTGCTCGATCTACGTTTGAGACATGCTATTTCTTCGGGAAGGGATTCACGTTGCACATCACGAATAATGACCGTCTTCGCATTTCGCAGCTCTACGATTGATAACGAGTTCGCTCTGGCCCCTGTAGACTCGTCAGGACTGGACGTTCTTGGGTTTCGGACCTCGAGACTGTGGTGATTTCGTGCTTGATGAACAGTTTTTAAATAGCGAATGAATCGAATGAGCCATGCGACTCCCTTCTGGAGACGATACCACGATGAATAATGCTGTATGAAAACATCGAACGGTTTAACTTGTTGTGCTTGTATCTCGTAACTTTGACGTCCTTCCTCCATTCGAGAGCTTCGTCAGGAAATGTGCTTATTTCTGTTGGATGGGTTGGCCGCGCTTCTGCTTTACCTCGAAGAAAATGCGGTCCTTGGAGCGGTTGGTTGTTCAAGGAGATCTCGTCATACTTCGCGGCGCAGTCGAACACAATTCTTGGTTTCGTTGGCTTCCGAGGATGCAAAACTGGATGGTGGGGTAGATACCATACGCCTCTCTTGTTGGTCTCAGCATCACGCAATTGGCTTGGGTCGATCTTAACAGCATACCCTTTGTCAACGTATTCGTCAATACCAATCTTGTACTTGGCATGGAGATCTGGATCTTTCTTCAGTCGCATTTTCAGAGAATGTAGTCTCCTTTCAGCAAGGCTTCTATTGTTGGGAAGATCTGGTTTCGTGCGAAATGGAAGATCCAACTGGTAGCGACCGTCAACAATCTTAAAGGAATTCTCCATCATGGTTAGTACTTTCTGATCTTCTAGTGACATGCTTAAATCTGGGGAATATGTGGACTCACTGAAATCCATTTGAAACATCTTTTCCACAGTCTCGTTGAGGAACTCGTCTTCCTGGCGGATGAAGAAAGAACTAACATTCTTGTCAGAGTCAGTTCCTAAAGGACTTGCTACAGACCATCCCAAAGGGGTTCGAACCGCGTATGGCTCTTTCTTTTGACCACGTCTTTCTTCTAGTTTCCAGTGTGCTTCAGGGATGTCAGCACCAATTAGAATTGTGACTTTCGAACTTTCCAGTTCTGGCACAGAGATTCCATCAAAATGTTTCCACTTGGCTATATCTTGTTCATTCGGGATACAGCTTGCAGCGACCGACAAATCTTTGACTGAAAGTGCATTTGGAATTTCTAAACAATCTTTCTGTCCCATGCCTTGCACATAGAAGAAATGAGATCTGCCAGATTCTTGGGAGACTCTGTTCATAGTAGTCAACTGAAAATCTATCGGCTGCCCCTTTAATTTTAACTCGTTAGCTAGGCTCTCCTTTACTAGCGTTGTATTCGATCCTTCATCTCTTATTGCATATGTGACCTTTTCGATACGATTGTCTCTTCCAAACACTTCAACAGGAACGATTCTCAAGCAAACTTGTTTCTTTATAGTTACGGTTGCTCCACAGTGTCCTGTCTGAGCATTCTGGAACTGGACGGGCGAAGAACTGGTTGTCTGTCCTTGGATTTCCTCGTTATCTGTCTTGACCGGAGCTTGGACTTTGTTGTCTCGATTAAGTTCAACGGGATGAAGCATAGGATGGTATTGTTTTCCACATCCAGGAATGAAGCATCCATGGTTTTTCTTACATCTCTTGGCGAGATGTCCTTTAGAAAGGCAAAGATTACACAGTCCTTGCTTGGAAACAAAGGCTTTCCGTTCGTCATATGATTTCCCTTGGAACTTGAAACATCTTTCGACAGTGTGGCCTTCCTTATCACAAAAGTAGCATTTCAGTTTTGCAGACGATCTCACTCCGGGTGAATACCTGGTATGCGCAGAATCTTGTTGTTTAATGGATCTGGTCGATGCAAACGATGACACTCTGCGAGACTGTCCACCAAACCGAGGGTTCTTGTTTCTTTCACGTTCGATTTCGGGTTTCGTGTTAATCAAGCGGCCATATTCCGTATTCGCCAATTTGCTCTCTTCACGACAAACTTGGTCAACTGTGAGAAATCTGGCTCCTTACCTTGGTCTCGTCAATTTTGTGCTTCTTTCGCCCATTCAGAGCGAAGGTACCTGGGTAATCGTAACACGACTGTACTCATATTGCCTCTGGAATTGATATCTGCCTGATACCCAAGCTTGCATAAATTCATTTCACAATTCTCCATATCCCTTGCTAATTGTAAAAGTTTCTCACTTTCGAATTCTTTAATTGTTCCACCTTTGGTCACTCGGTCAATATGCGACGCCGCAACGATGTGAGTCTGCCCGAACATCTCTCGCAAAATCGATTTTGCTTTATTATATCCTTCTTCAGGAGGTAACATAACAGTTCCACTAACGGCATCTTTAGCTTCTCCTGTACAGAGCTGAATCAGAAAACTTCTCCTTGCATTGGGATCACGCTCGATATCTTCTACATTCGTTTTGAAGTTTTGTATAAAGCTAGGATATTTCAGTGAGTTTCCATCAAATGTCATGTATTCTCTCCTTAGCATTTCCAGACCCTTACTTATTGAAGAACCAATAGTAGTCGCCATCATCCTAAACATATCCTGCTGCTGTCCGAAAACTTGAGGAGCATCTGTTGGCTCGGGATGGCTCGGAACACAATTATTTCCTTGTACAATATGGTTCTGCTGTTCCACAAACAAGGGGGATACATTTTGCATTGTATCAGCTGGTTGGGGTCCATTTTGAGAATGCTGCTGTTGTGGTTGCCTTGTGACTGCTCTGCTATCTAACGGTGCTTGATCATTAACTACTCGCTCGTGTCGACCCTGATAAATGGGCGGGACCTGTCGTTCTCCAAACACGGGTCGTGGTTGAAACACATTATTCTGCAGTACAGCTCGTTGTAGCTGGGAACGAGGAGCGACTGGAGGATCTAGTTGGCTAGATGTTAAGTCAGGATTAACATGTCCTTCAGGATGTAAGTGAGGGTAGCTTGGTACATTTTCGTTATTGATAGTAGGCTGAAACACGTTTGGCTGGCTAAGATCATTGGCCAACTGTTCTTGTACTGGCTCACCTTGATCAAATCCTATATCTGAATTATCACTGTCAACTCCCATATCTTCTTCTAACCGAGCCTTCGCCAACTTGGCTTCCATCTCTTGTAACTGTCGTCTTTCCCTTAATTCTGCCCATTTACGCTGTCTTTCAAGCTCTTCCCTTTTTATTTCTTGCTCTAGTTCTCGAGTTTCTTTATCCAACTTCTGTCGTTCTTTCATTTGCTTAAGTTCCGCCTCGATTAAACTTCTTGCCCGTGCTGTCTTACTTGTCTTCGATCTAACGCTCATGGCTGGAGCTGACAAAACCACTCTTCTTTGTTGAAATGTTTCCATACTTCTCAATGGGCAACTAGACTGTGCCCTTTGGGGTAGACCAACATTATTGACCCATTCAGCGGTATATTCCATTGAACTTCTTTCAACAACCGAGGGGTATTCCTGCCTTTGTGATAACACATCATTGTCCTTTCTCACGGCACTCATATCTAATCTCCCATTCGAGTCTCTTATGTTCATTTTGGAAAAATGATTAATCTGTAAATCATATACTGAAACCGTGTTTAGTTTCCTCACAAGTTCTCAAACTCGCTCTTTTGTTGAAGTACTATTTCACACGTAAATAAACAATTGTTATTCCAAAACAAATAACACACCACTAATTTAAGCGATTATTCGTTGCTGACGAGATGCCTAACATAGATCAGTCTCGAATATCCACAAATAGAGATCAGCGTCAAGTGTATCCACAAATAGAGATCAGTGTCAAATATATCAACAAATAGAGATCAGTGAAAAATATATCAGTGTCAAATATATCCACAAATATCAGATCAGTGCCAAATATATCCACAAATATCAGATCAGTGTCAAATAAATCCACAAATAGAGATCAGTGTCAAATATATCAACAAATAGAGATCAGTGATAAATACATCCACAAATAGAGATCAGTGTCAAAGTAATATCCAAATTTACAATCTAGTTTGCTCGAACAATTTACCTTAATCGCCTTTATATTTCTTAAATATTTCAACTATTTCGCATCCAAATATAACCACGAGGTAGTCAGAAACTGTAAGTTGCAGTCTGCGGCTCTTTTGGACGTCAGCGAAACGCACATAACCAAGCAACCGAACAATCCAAATCGGTATATATTTAACGTGTATTAAACGTGGTTTCTAAACAATAATTTACAAACATAGATATTTACCTACACAAATACGATTACAAGCAATGAAACAACACAAGACAAATACCTGACTGTTAGTCCTTCCGGCTACCACACACTACAACCTTAAATTAACTTTAAAAAACAAACATGATCTCGTATCGAACAAATCCCAAACAAAATATGTGTTCACATTATCCCAATCGCGGGTTTTGTCCAGCCCTAAAGGCGGGTCTAGATCCTACACTATATTCACGTTCATGGTCACAATAACAAACGCAAAATTAGCATATCTTCGCATCATATTAATAGCGTGCCTAATACATGTAACATTTTCCCAATCCCTGCTGGAGAAACCTCAACCGATTCGCGACTATTGAAAGAGACGCCGTCTAAAGAGTTTGTCCCAAGCCTAATGTTAACCAATGTGATGTCTCTTGCTCCCAAAATCGACAAAGTCAGTCTTTTCCTTCTGAACAAAAATCCCGATGTTGTATTTATCACAGAGACCTGGCTTACAAATGCTATCGATAAAAGCCATATCAATATTCCCGAATATAACGTTGTTTGTAAAAACCGATTCTCTGGTAGTCACGGTGGCGTTTGTTTATACTTGAGGAACTCGATCAGTTACGAAATTTTAGATCACTTTCACAACGCCGAAACTGAAGTTCTTTGGGTTAAAATTAGACCAATCAGACTTCCTCGAGGATTCCCATGTATAATTACTGGTATCTTAATTCATCCCCCAAGTTCGGACAATAACATGATGTTAGAATACCTTGCAATGTCTCTTACGGACATAGAAGGTCATTATCCTGGGTGTGGAATAATTTTAGCTGGCGACTTTAACCGTCTCAATGTAAGCGGACTGTCTCGTCAGTTCCGAATGAAACAACTTGTTCATCTACACACAAGAGGCGATCAAACACTAGACCTTATCCTCACAAATCTCAATTAATACTATGACAAAAACTCCCTTTATTCCTTCCCTCCGTTCGGCCTATCCGACCACAATGTTTTACTGTTAAATCCGAAAGAAAGGCGGCTGTTTTCATCTCGGGATAGGAAAAAAGTTTTTTGGAAACGCGACACAAGGGAAATTCGGAAACAAGAATTGGGACGGTACCTTAGCTCCCTAAACTGGGACATACTCAACGAAATTAAGTCATGTAATAGGAAAGAACAATTATTTGTGGACTTAATTAAAACTGGACTGGATATAATAATGCCACTAAAGAAAACAAAATTACACACCAACAATCAACCTTGGATAACACCTGAATTTATCACCCTGATTAAACGCCGACAGGAAGCTTTCGCTCAGAAAAAAATGACAGAATTTCGTCACTACAGAAACCTTGTAAACCGAGAGAGAAAGCGTTTACGTGACAACTACTTTTCCACGAAAGTAATCCATCTAAAGGGTACCAAACCGTCTGTTTGGTGGCGAGAACTGAAGCGTATTTCAGGTATGCAGCCCAACAGTAGCAACGTAAACATGTTTACGCAGCTAAAACTTAATGAACATGATTATAAAGGTAACCCAGAGGAAATTGCAAACAGAATAAACGAGTCCTTCTTACAACCCATGCGTGAATATAAACCTCTGTCTAGCAACCCATTCAACAATGGTGAGTTTGGTCCAGACCTAGAGACTTTTGAATTGACAGAACTAGATACATATACATATACATATACATATACTTAGGAGAATACATATACATATACATATACATATACATATACATATACATATACATACACATATACATATACTTAGGAGAATACATATACATATACATATACATATACTTAGGAGAATTAATCCTCGAAAAGCTAGCGGGCCTGATGGTATCCCAAATTGGTTGTGTAAAACGTATGCCGAGATACTCGCAAAACCAGTCTGTAATATTATCAATTCTTCGTTTGATGAGCAGAGATTACCGTCAATGTGGAAACATGCTGACATCATCCCAGTCCCGAAGGTAAAACCAGCCACTGATGTCAAAAAACATTTGCAACCGAACTCCTTGACGCCATCAATCTCTAAAGTTGCAGAAGAATTTGTGATCACAAAGTACATAGTGCCTGCTATAATGAATACATTAGATCCGGATCAGTACGGGGCCATACCAAAGTCCTCTTTAGAGCTTGCCTTGATCTCAATGATCCACGAATGGTCCCAAACTACAGACAAATCTGGCGCAACAGTCAGAATAATTCTTTTTGATTATAGAAAGGCATTTGACCTAGTTGACCATTCCATCCTAATAAAAAACTTCAAAACCTGACGTCATTACCCCGAAAGGTGTGCTCCTGGATAACCGACTTTTTGTCCAACAGATACCAAAGAGTGAAGCTTGCTGACGCCCTTGCGTCATGGAGACACGTCCCCTCAGGTGTACCCCAAGACACCAAGTTAGGCCCCTGACCATTTCTTCTAATGGTGAATAACCTACATGTGAACAGCGACAGTACGTGGAAGTTTGCTGACGACACGACAATTTCGGAAATCATTCCAAAGAATTCCCTTACCCACACTCAATCCGCTACCACGTCTGTTGAGAAATGGTCTGCAGACAACAAACTGCACTTGAACGCAGAAAAATGCAAGGAGCTGAGGATCGACTTTAAGCATGTTCATCAGGAGTTTGACCCAATTGAAGTAGACAACGTTCCACTCAAAATAGTGGACCACGCAAAAATCCTGGGCCTGATAGTCTCAAACTCATTACAATTGAACCTCCATGTCAACCATGTCATCAAGAAAGCGAACAAACGTCTGTATTGTCTGGTCCAACTCAAACGTGCAAATGTTCCTGAGGCAGATATTGTTAACTTTTATTGTACCTGTATTAGATCCACTCTCGAATACGCATCACCGGTATTCCACCACTCTTTACCAAAGTACTTGTCTGACGATCTTGAGCGAGTACAAAAACGATCCTTGGCTATAATTTACAGAGGGCAGCCATATTCAGAGAGCCTGCAGCAATCTGGACTAAACTCCTTAATGGTCCGAAGACAAACACTGTGTGAAAAGCTTTTCTTTAAAATATCAACTGACAGTGACCATAAACTCCATGCACTGCTGCCGCCAAAACACCAAGCGAAATATAACTTAAGACACAAACGCCTCTATGCTCTTCCAATGACTAGCACTAACCGCTTTATGAACACTTTTGTGCCATCTATAATATATTATAATAATTTAGTAGGCTAACATGTCTAATATTTAAATTTATATACTATTGTAAAAATCTACGTAATTCAGCCAAAGTGGCTGCAAAGTGGCTTTTAATAAAATATCTATCTATCTATCTCCGTCTATTGTGCTTTTCAGGCTTAAAGGTAGAGGTTTTGCAGTTGTGAGTTTTCACAACTGCAAAAAAGTGTGCCCAATCGCACAATTTCTTGGATATGTGGAACAACTAGATTTACTATAGAAGACATTTTCATCACAAACATTTTGTCACCATATGTCTACATTGACAAACAATTTCCATATTACAAAATATTCCCATTTTGCATTACAATTAAAGTTAATGTTTGTAGAAGTTGTTCAAATCATGGAAGTTGTTTCATCTGTGATCTTTCAAACTGAAAATATATCAGTGACATGCTGGTATAAAGTGCATGCAAATGATGCAAGAACAGTGATGAGTATCACTAATATTAAACTAAAATGGATATTAAATAATTGGAAAAATCTTAAACAAAGTGTACTGATCAACTTAAGTCTCTTATATCAACTAATCAGCCAGCCAATTACATATTTGCAACACTACATATGATTCTTGTATTTCTTGAAATTGTGCTTGGATAAGTTGGATTTAATAGGCAAATTACCAACCAGAAACGGTATGACATAACATGATGTCTTTCAAAATTAAGTAAAGCAAGACAAAATTTTCATGTAAGAATATATTTTGTAGCAATACGAACAAAAATATAAAAATAACTCAAATCTAACTATGAATAGTATCTCGGTCACGAAAAAACCGCACTAAATTGTTAAATTACAGCTTCAAAACTTTAAATATTCTTTGTAAATAAGACTAGATAAGACCACATACCATTCATTTTTTGATAATTTAGAAGGAAATCGTCGCTGAAAATCCACTTTTTGCAGTTAACTCCCTAATAACTCTATATAAAATCATCCATTTTTACTTGCTGGGAAGCTGGTGGTCGAGATGCGCGAGGCGACATGCGCGGCGCCATTTACATCAAAGGTTCCGACTTGAGTGGCACTTCTATTCATTTCTTATTCTATGATATCGAGCAAAACAAGGAAAAATAATTTTTAATAATATGAATTGAAATTAACATAAAGGTCAGTTCACACTGGAGGTAATGCTACAACGCAACGCTATTTTCTGATTTTCATAAACAGATAACTTGCTCCTGGTTTAAATTTAAACTTGATTTTTATACAATTACGTAAAAACCACAGTAAAAACCTTTGCAAAATAGCACTTTCAACTACGCATGCACAGAGGACCGCGCTGGACTTAAATTTTATGCATCACTGCTCAATGCTCATGCGCATAAATAACTTCAACCTGCGAGCAGGCTGTGCAGAATTCAAGCCGCCCCATCCTTTGGACAGGCAGGTTAGAAAATGTCCCAGGGAGTGGATGTGTTTTTTTTTTATCAAACCCCCTATACTGTCCCGGCCTCCCCACCCCCACCCCCATGGTGTTTATATTGATATGTGCATAACAAGTGGCCACTCGATAGTAACACATTTCAATAGCTAGACATATCAAAAAATTCTTTTTCAGTTTATCCACTTTATCAATTTCATGGAGTGGCTGTTTTTAAAACGCTTGCTTTCCCAATTATTGGAGTATGAATTACCAAAATATTTGATTATTATTTAATTTTCCCTAATCGTACAGTAGTACAGTACTGCTTTGAAATAATAGACACACTACTTTGTAACCGTACACACGGTAAAATGATCAATGGTCATCATAACCCCATTAACCCGTCCAGGGAATAATTTAGACACATTATTAAAACAATATCTGATCGTGCGAGAGTCAACCAAAATATTTATATGAGCTGTCATAAAAGCTTTGATAATCCCGAATCCCGAGCTTGTACCAAAAAAAAATAATTACGCTACCAGACTTTACAAATAGAAAGTCGCTTATCTTTTCTTCAAAATATTCATAAAACAGACGAAAATAGTTTTTAATAATTATAATGCGGTTTTCCTCATATTGTTTATAGTAAAATTCTTTCACTATACTACTTAAGAACATGGCTGTCGCTCGCTCGCTCGCAGATATCTGTCGGCGCAACCGCTTAACATTGAAGGAGTGTCTCTTCCGGTTCGTTTCTTTATTCTGTGCTTGCCACTCAGACCAATATTTGTCGAGAAATGCATGACGCAAAAAGAACTCTGCTGTCCAGGTTGAATATGTATTGGTCATTCTGCCCCCCCCCCCGAAAGCTTTGTTGTGAACATTATCGTGCCAACTTTGAAAAATGGCTAACCACTCTTGAAACTTGTGAGGCTCCAGTTTCAGCAAAATTGCAAGATTTAAAGCGCTTGGGATACTGGTCTGGTGACGTACAATCTAGACGATATTTAAATTACACGTACCGCGGTACGTGTTATTTAAATATCGTCTAAATTTTAAGTCAGCATCTGAGCCATAGGCAGGAACCATTTGCCCTTCAGGTTCTTCATTAAATGGACCAGTGATTACTATATGCTTAACGCCATTCCTATCTCCGCCAAAGATCATTCATTGTCATCCCAAAAATTAACATCAAATGGATTTACAATTACCATGTTCCAATCCCAGTAAATTAAATTAATTTTAAGATCGATTTTTTCAGACAATTTTCATATTGTGGAATAAACCAACGCTGCCAAGGAAAGAAGAAAACTTTACAATGAAGAAGTTTACAGAAATAATATATCAAAATGCATATGAGTAGTAATATAGGGGCCGATCGATCCGGATTTTTGGGGCGGAGCGGGGCGGCGCCGGTCGGCGTGGGGCGGCGCATCATTATATATGCAGGTAATTACCATGCAAGGGGGCGGCGTATGCAGGTAATTAAGAGGGGCCGCACAAATGAGGGTGCGTAGTGACGTCACGCGGACAGGATCAGGTAAGTAATGACGTCACGCGGGCCTGTTCGGGCGAAATTGAACAAAACTTGCTGACCACGCGTTTTTTAGCGTTACTCCTCGTGTATGATACAATGGAGGGATTAATGTTGGCTTACTATGATTGGTTGTTTGATTTAACGAGCGTCTGTATAAAAAGTACTTGGAAGAGAATGGCCCAGCAACATCGAGAGAATATTTGGTAAGTTTAATTTGAACTGAAAATTAATATAATATCGAGAGTTTTGTGTATGTAATCGACTTCTATATTTTGTAGGAGAGATCAATTTATGAGCGAACTGGAAAATGACGATGTCAATCGCCAGCTTTGCGCCGTTGCTGCGGATGAAATGTTCGAGTCCTGGTCGTCGGAGACGCAGGAGCAGATTTTGGCTGAATGGAATGATTGGCGACGAGACGAAAACCCTGGACATAGCTGTGATGAATGTGGCAAAACATTTACACGATCCAGCGACCTAAAGCGCCATACAAAACGTGTACACACTGGAGAAAGAGCTTTTTCTTGCAACCATTGTGACAAATCCTTCGCTAGGAAAGATATGTTGAAACGTCACGAGAAAGTCCATAGCAAGGAAAAAGTATACGAATGCCATAGATGCCACAAGAAATTTGCTCGAAAGGTACTAGTACCGACAGTTTATATTCTAGCTGCGATGTATTTTAAATTATTATGTTTATTTATTATTTTTCAAGGACAAACTGAATAGGCATATGAAAATGCACGAGCGCCGTGGCGCGGAACGGGAGTATACTTGTAATGAGTGCGGTGAAGTATTCCGAAATATATTTCCATTCCAAACCCATCAACGCGAATTCCACCAAGTTGGCCGTGGGAAACGTACCAAGACGCCGATCGGGCGAACAAAAAGGCAAAGAACTGATGAGCCAGGTATGTATAGATGAAAATATTTTGATTACTAACTTTGTATTTATACAGATATTTTTTCTCTTTTAAGAATCGCCATCATCTTCGACACGCGTTAACGAAGGTAAGAGAGTATATATGCTGTGTAATAATTTGAGTTAAAATCACACTAATACATTTTTTTTCTCCTTTTCAGGGGTGTCTACGTCTACAGTCGTCAACGAAGGTATGAAATTCAATTTTTATACCGTATATAGTATATTGCTTGTGGTGATTTGCTGTGTATATTGATAATGTTAATTACTCGGTTTTAAAACATTGCCAGGCGAAAGACTTTGAGATCCTAACGTTTACATTTGAAAAATATTTTAATGCTGTTTTCATGCTGTTTCACTGATGTTTGTGTTTTGAAAACCTGATAAACATAATCGGGTAATTTTTAAGCGTGGGTTTATAGTGTGGAATGTTCCTAATTATTCGTGTTAGACTTATGTTCATTTGCTTTATTAATTCATGTCATTGCACGAGTATTTACGCTACATCTGTTTTATAACATTCGCTAGCGTTTTATAGTGAGGTAAAAGTAATTTTGGTTGCGTAGGTTTATCATGTTGCTATGTGAAATTGCATGTCCCTAATTTATTCATGTTAGACTTATGTCGATTTTTTATGAATCGGGTGTTTGTATGACAAAATTAGTGCGAAGCTCTAGACAAAAATAAAGAATCGGGTGTTATTTCTATAGGACCCAAAGAGTTCCCCCAGGATCCCCTATTACCACCGTCCAACCTTCCTTCCCAACTCCACCGAGATCATTGGCGTGCTATACGTACGCAGCAAAGTCGAGGCAACCGAGTGCAAGATTGGTATAATTATCGTCTAAGCTCAGTGAATATGGGTCAACTTGTTGCCGATATAGACCGTATATTCGAAGATCAAACCACTGTCTTTAAGTTAAATCTCTCCTTTGGTTTCGTATTGTTTAATAACGAGACACAACAAATGCAATATCACCACCCCTCAGCAAACAACCGCCGTGTTTTCGACTCCCCGTTCCAGATTAAAAACCGCGAGGATTTGGTTCAAGTGCGTACAGCGTTGGAAAACATTGACATTCATGAATGGGCTCGACAACAACGGCGCAACTCCAAATGGATTGTCATGGATATTACCAACGTTACCTTCTAGTCACCAAACTTCGAGACCATCCCATCGGACGTTCTGTGCGTTTACCCAAATACGTGTTGGAGAATCCTGCCACTGTGTCGCTAGACTGTGATAGTAATACCAGTTTACCATACGAGGATAAACTTTGTTTCTTTCGTTGTTTGGCTATGCACAAAGGTTGCCACCCCAAAAATTTAGAACGTGATACTCATCATTTTTATGAACAATATTCGGAAGATGATGATTTTGACGGTGTTACCCTAGAGGAACTACCTGAACTGCAAAAGTTATTCGAGTTAAACATTTACGTGTATCGCCTTACAGAGCTACACGACGAGGACGAAGACAAGACCTCCATTGTGGCTTAACTGATACACCGCTCCCACCGTAGATATGCCAGTTCGATGTATCTGAACCTCTACGGTAGTCACTTCAGCTACATTAAGAATTTGGCCATGTATTCCAAGTCCTACTGTTGTTGCAAATGTGACAAAATGTGGAAAACAGCCAAAGCCTTGAACAAGCAGCGAACCTTGTGATGGAACTATAGGTCACATCTTCCCTGGTGGTGCCTACAAAGTTCCACAATCTATCTTCGACTTGTTGGCCGATGAAGGAATCGAGATCCCTGAAGACCTCAAGTACTTCCCTTATCGCGCCACCTTCGACTTTGAATGTTATTTTAAACATACATCTAACCATTCAAGAAACACCGAAAAACTCACGTGGCAAGCCGAACATATTCCGTTGAGTGTCTCTGTATGTTCGAACGTCCCTGGCTACACCGAACCCAAGTGCTTTGTTTCCTCTGGTGACACGAGTAAAATGATCCAAGAATTCGTGGAATATTTGGTAAAAATTAGTCAAGAAAGTTATGTCTTGTTGTTGGATCTGTTTGCGGATGTGTTTCGTCAAATTGAGGAACGAGTTAATCAGGTATAATTCACACGTATTAGATTGTTAGTATATTTCTTATCCTTAATATTTTTTCTTATATCTTTAGGTGGGGGAAAACGCTGAGATTATGGAAGTTGCCGCGGGGGAGGATAATGAGGTAAATTATAGGAAGGTTATTTTTGCACTTATATTCTTTATATTCTAATATATCTTATGTTTTAGCAAAATACAGAGGAACAGATGATAGAGGAAATGGTGGGATGTCTGATGGGGCTGAATAGTAAGGTAAACTATATATTTGATCTATTAGATGTTTATAATATTTGTACTTATTATGCTGTATATTTTCAGGAGAGGGAAGTAAGTGATGGCGAAGTGGTTGGGGAACAAGTGAATGAGTCCGAAGCAGAAAAAACCCACCCACTGGAAAAGTTGGTCGAGAAGTTGGAACTTTACTTGATAGAACTTCCTGTGATCGGCTTCAACTCGGACAAGTACGATATAAATGCTGCTAAGAACCCATTCTTCTCTTACCTAGTGAAACACGAGCAAGTTAAGTTTGTGATAAAGAGAAACAATAACCACATGTGTCTTAAGACGCAACACTTAAAGTTTCTCGATATCACAAACTACTTGGCCCCCGGTTTCAGTTACGAACAGTTCCTCAAGGCTTACGAGTGTTCCCAGACAAAAGGCTACTTCCCTTACGAGTGGGTTGATTCCCTTGGAAAGTTGAACAACCCAACCCTACCACCACGCGAAACGTTCCATTCCAATCTGTCCGGAACCGATATCACCGAGGATCAGTACCGGTATTGCGAGCGTGTATGGAACGAACAGAATATGACAACTTTCCGTGACTTTCTCGTGTGGTACAATAACTTAGATGTCGTACCTTTCCTCGAGGCTGTCCAGAAAATGAGTAATTTTTGGCAAGAAAGAAACATTGACATGTTTAAGGATGGAGTAAGTGTGCCTGGCTTAACTATGAAATACTTGTTTTCAAACATTCCAGGCACCTACTTCTCCTTGTTCAGCGACAAGGACAAGGATATGTACTATACCATGAAAGACAATAACGTAGGGGGCCCAAGTATTATCTTTAACAGGTACCATGAGAAAGGGAAAACATCGATACGGAAGGAAGAAATGCGAGCCAAAGGAAAAGAATCGAAACCCTGCAAAAATGTGGTTGGATACGATGCCAATGCACTGTACCTCTGGGCCATCATGCAGAATATGCCGACGGGGCAGTACACAAGACGGTTAGAGGAAGATGGGTTCAAGATAAGATGGAGTGGAAAAATGGCAATAGAGTGGTTGGAGTGGGAAGCGTACCAGCGGAGAATACAGATCAGACACGAGTACAACAACGCGGAGAAACGAATTGGCGCTCGTCGTCTCCCCGTTGACGGTTTCCACGCTGAATCACAAACGGTGTTCCAGTTTCATGGTAAGTTGAAATTAGTTAAGATTAATTAGCTAGGATTAAGTTAATTGTGTGGGAGTGAGCTAATGAGTTTTTAGCGATTGCGTGGGCTTGCAGGATAATTTATTTTTCTTTTGTAGGTTTAACTGTATTGTACTTTATTCTACTAGGATGTTATTGGCATGGCCACAACTGCCAACTTAACGAAGGTAAAGAAGTCAACGAGAAGCGTGATAAGCCCATGAAAGAACTCCTTGAAGAGACAAAAAGAAACAGTGCCTATATCACGAAGCAGGGATTCAATCTCGTTGAATGTTGGGAATGTGAGTGGCGAGATATGAAGAAACGAAACAGCGCGCTGCAACGATTCATCGCCACCCATCTGCGTCGACCACTGGATAAAGTGAAAACCATGACCAAACAGTCCATTATCAACGCAGTGAAGAATGATAAACTATTTGGATGTGTGGAGTGTGATATCCACGTACCTGAGAGTTTGCGAGAATACTTCAAAGAGATGTGTCCCATCTTCAAGAATACCGAAATACGTCGAGAAGACATCGGTGAGTTCATGAAGAGCTATGCCGAAGAAAACAACATCATGCCCCGACCTCGGCGGAGTCTCATTGGAAGTATGATCGGAAAGAAGATAATGTTGGCAACTCCTCTTCTAAAATGGTATTTAGAACATGGTTTAGAGGTACGTTTTAAATATTAAAAACTTGTAAAATTGCAGGAGAAAATTTTTAACAAATTGTATTATCGTTTTAGGTAACACACGTCTACCAGATAGTCGAGTATACCCCTAAGCCATGCTTCAAACCTTTCGGTGACGCTGTATCGGATGCTCGTCGTGCTGGTGATGCAGACCCCTCCAAAGCCATCATCGCGGACACGATGAAATTGTCGGGAATAGGTGAGTTTTAAAATCACGCTGTTGTGACGTATTCAAGAAATACTCATTTTTTTGTATTTCTATACAGCTCATACGGGAAGACCATCACCAACAAAGAGCGTCATCGCAAGGTGGATTACTGCAACGATGATGAGGTTTCTGAATGAATCAACTCACCATTCTACCGCCAAATGAACGTGATCAACGATGACACCTACGAAGTGGAAAGTGCTAAGAAGAAAATTAAGTTGGACTTACCACTACAGGTATGTATTGCATGATCATTTTGTCATTAGAAATATAAATTAATAAATTATTCTTATTTTACAGGTGGGGTTCTTCGTGTACCAGTATGCGAAACTCCGAATGTTACAGTTTTACTACGACTGCTTAGATACATACCTTGACCGTTCCGATTATGAGTATTGCGAGATGGATACAGACAGTGCCTATATCGCTATTAGTGGTGAAAGTGTTGAAGAATTGGTCAAGCCTGGTTTAAGAGAGGCGTTTGAGAACGATAAATGTAACTGGTTTCCTCGCTCCGATACAACTGAACATGTAAAATACGACAGGAGAAAACCGGGATTGTTTAAAGTAGAATGGGAAGGGGATGGAATTGTGTCTTTATGTAGTAAGACGTAATATTGTTTTGGGGAGAAAGATAAATATAGTTGCAAGGGTGTAAATAAAAGAAATAACGTAATTAATAAAGATAAATATTTAGATGTGCTTTTAAGTAAACGTAGTGGGTCGGGTGTAAATAGGGGTTTTAGGGTTTTAAATAATGCTATGTGTACATATGTTCAAGTTAAAAACGCTTTTAGTTATTTTTATCCAAAACGTAAAGTTTTGGAGGACGGTGTGTCAACAATTCCTTTAGATATTTAGTTTGTAAATAGTCAATATATATTTTTCAAA